AAGTTAGTGGTCCAACTTCCAGTTTGTCAGGAATGCCTATATATTACATGTAACACTGAACTGCGTCTGCATAACCCTGTTGTCTGACAGACTACATTAAGCTGTAGTTAGTATGCAGCAGACAGACCTGTTGATTGTGATGCATGGGTAGATTACAAGCCACAAGATTCAGCTAAGGCTCAAAGGCTGTGCACCATGGGTTCCCTCTGGATGTGAGTCCCCGAAGTACAATCAGTCATGTATTAATGCACAAACACACCGTGTGAACGCTTCATGATTTCTTTCTTAAGATTAGTAGGCTGTCTGGATGCGTTCCCAGTTTCTGTGCAATGTTCCCAAAAAGTTTCACACTCAATTTGTAACTTAGGATGGGATTTGAAAAAAAAGGCCAATTGGCCTGAGAAGCTGGGCTGGAGTATGACCCAATCTAGATAGAAGACTTTAATATCAAATTTGGCAACATTTTTCTGTCAGATTCTGCATCTTTTCAGTACTGATCATTTATTATCAATTCACTTCTCAAGTCTCAGTCTCTTTTTTTCACTTTTCTACAAACTTTGAAATGATAATATAATTTAGGGAACACTTTATTGGTAACCTTGTAGAGCAAATTTTAATTTGTAAGTAATTACCACACATTCATTCAGTCATGTGCGACGTACATTGATCGTGAAGAAGGGGTAGCCATGAATTTATTGTAAGAGCCTGGAATTACCTTGATCCGTACAGCGTTAGCAGCCACAAGGCCTTGATTACCCTATTGTTATCAGCTCGGAGAGCAATTTCCAGTTCACATGGCTTTAACTAAGGGCATTTCAATCAGTACCAGTGGCAATAGCAGCCTACAGCCTAATCCTGCAGGGATGGCACCTTCAACCCTGTGGTCACTTTAGTGCAAGGACAGTTGAGGGAGAAAGTGCAGACTCATCCAGACCTCAGTTATCAGAAGGTTGAACTCTGGTAGACAATATTGATCTGATTTACATTCACTTAAAATCTTACAGTCTGTGAGAAGAATTGGGGTGTCTCAAAAAACAGTTACTCAAGCAACTGGCTTTGATTTTGGAAACGATCAACCCAGTGTTTTTGGTGTACATGTATCTTACTACCTAGATTGTCTTACTTTCACCAACGAAATTTGGGTGTCTCTTGATCTCATCCCTAGCATGGCTGAAATCTTCTTTTGTCTCCAGGAACTCTGAGTCTGTCCAGTACTTCTGGTCCAACTGGAACATCCCTGTATACAGGTGGTGCAAAAGGTGAGAGTCAATTGGTCAAAAGACAGTCTGTGTGTGACCCTCCCCCTTAACTATTAGACACACTATGACATACTGTACATGAACCTTGTCTATGCATGCATTATGTGGCAAAATCTATTTTCAACTGACAGCTTACATGAAGACTCTAATCATCTTAGCAAAGTAATCATGTCTTTCTTTGTCCTTATCTCTTGTTCTGTTCTGTCAAATGTGAAGGAGGCTTTTCTTATATAATATTATACGTGTATGAAGAATTTGAATTACCCTAAGGCTTCCATTTCCAGGCACTTATATCAGCCCTTGATGCGCAGAGGCTACAGCAGAATGTTTGGACAAATCTGTGTATTTGCTACGTCAGCTTTTTTTCATGAAGTAAGTATGAATTAGATCTATACTTACTGGTATCTGTATATGCCTAACTAATACCCCTGTATGTTTCCGTCCACTTTACCGAGAAACCAGAAATACACTGTAAAGATAATTTACATCAGAAAAACAACTATGGAAGCATAGGAGATTCAAACAATATTCTAGAATATTTCAGCACTTTCCACTGGTTCACAAAGTTCACTTATTATTTTTAACTGCTATATTAGAGAGATGTCCTTGACATTATAATTTGTATTTAGCACACAGACTGAAGTAGTGGGTTGGGCTCCTTCAGGGGAACCATCATGTCACACTCCAGTGATTAAAAAGATTCAACAGTAGAAGGTAGATGTCCCTGCCTGGCCATTACACACCATGCATGCCATTAGGAACCGTATATGGACAAAAGCTCCGGTGACAAACTGTGTCTGTCAGCATACCATCAGTTTTACATCTCCGACCGACTTCCATATTCCCGAGCCGCGTGAACTCTGGTTAAGTGTTGGCAGACCCTTTGAGAGTATTTACCTGCCATACTGTCTGACAATTCCACCGTGAGTTTAGCCTTCAGCGCGAAATTATTCTTACCCAATGGATGCAAACACACGGTTATTGATGTGGCCCCACAGACATCGGGGCCTGCATAAGTGCCTGCTGGAAACCGCTAAGTGCAAAGTGGCTGCAGAGTAAAGCCCACACATGAGAGCTTTCATCACATGTGCCTCGCTCTCGGTAGGAGATCAATGTAATTGCTGTGCTGGAACACTGGATAAACACCAAACTTCAATGACGGTGGTGTATTATTCATCAGCATTGAGTTCCATGTGCTAAGCACTGTCATCAATACAAACCCCAAGGTGTTCCTGTACTTTTCTACCACTTAGCTGTGTACGAAGTAAAGATGGTCCTTAAGCAGGTAATATCAATGTTTATCATGCTATGTGCCCACGCAAGATGTGTAACTGACAACATTCAGGGTCATGTATGAGAGCAAACTTGCCATTTCCAGCTCTAATGTGCTGCAGATCATTCTGAATCCCATGATTCACTGTTGCAAACTTTTTTATCTTGAACATTTGATCCTCAGGTAAGACCAGGATGGTTATTCAAAATACCAGTACTCTACAAGACCTTATTCTCCATTTGTCTTGCATGTTCAC